TTACTACTAGTAAGGCACCTGTTCCTAGTAGCGTGGCACTTGTTTCTTGTCAGCGCTTTAAAAAGCTTGTCGAGCCGCAACTTTCGGAATCTCTGCAATCAAAGGTTTCATCACTGCCACGCAGCAATCGGTGAAAGGTGCAAAAAGCTCGATGGGGACAGCGTAACCTGCGCTGGTTGTCATGGAGACAATGCGTCCAGTTTGATCACCTTGATCATCTCGCTTCAAAATTTCAACGTCGTTTTCGAAGAGAAATCAAATGGTCGAAGAGAAATACCAAAACTTGATGGAGAACTCGCAAATGGTCACCCATGCCTACGTGTCGCAAGCCTAGTGCAGAAAGCTCATCAACCATCTCCTAAGGCTCGAAATGGCTTGCATGGCCAAGCACACGAGTGCCTAAGGAAAGACAAGAAGAACCCATATGTTTTCAGCCATGTATTGTTTGCCTCACTGTAAACTGTCTCGCATCTGACAAAGAAAGGAGCCCCATTGGGTGAAAAATGACTCCAAGTGGAGGTTCGTCTTTGGGCTTGTGGAACATATCGTAAGAAGATTGGAGCACTCTGTCTGCAATGTAGCGAAGTCGAGTTTGAGACCTCACCAGGTCAACGACAAATAAAGCGAAAGACGTGCACATCACAGGAAGCAACAAATGGAGAGAAGACGGAAGACGATAACCTATGAGAAAATGAACAGCAAGAAAATATCCGCACAGCATTGCATGGTTTCACAGGTGGCTTGGTGTCTGCCAGCTAAGATCCTGGCTGCTTGAACAAATCTTGGCTGGCCTGACACCTAGAGAAGAAATCTGTGTAGAGATTGCTCCGCAAGTGGTCCAATTGCCTCAGACCAGCACCTTTGTGTAGTTTTGCCAAAACACACACTGATATTGATATACACTGACAATATCTATACTGTCCTACAAAAAAAGTTTATACATCTCTTCTTGTGCGAGTTCTACAGTTGTTTGTTGAACTTGGGCTTAACTTTATGCCAAGAACTCTTCTGTCAATGTTGAGAATAGTTGAGCGTTGTAAGGCTTGAAGGCCCTCACCTCGACGTGTCTCCGCAACAAACGAAAGCCAATTTCATTCTTTTGATGCCCTTTCTTTGGAGTTCTGAGTGTCCAACCTTCCTGGTCGACTCCTTTAAGTTCCGACTGACGGTTTCCCACAGCCACTCCCATGCCGTCTCATGGGTTGTGCTCCAAGTCTTTGGAAGCCTCGTGAAACTCATCGTGTAACACAAGTCGCGTACTGTCCAATGCATACATTCATTGCTCTGAACGCTCTTCGTATCTCAATTGGCCGAGCGTCAAAGAGCGCAACGCCGCGAGCATCACAGGCTTAAACTTTGCAAAATCAATCTCCTGCAAACGAAAGATGATTTGGAAATCAGATCTGGAAAATATGGCACAAGAACGCTACTATAGGAGCAAAGGGCATCGCTACTAGGAGCAAGGACGCTACTAGGAGCTCCTGGCCTTACTAACTAGGAACAAGAACGCTACTAAATGCATCAGAACGTGTGGCACATGGTCTACTCCCGGGATTCACGTCCTCGGACTTGCTGACCATGTTGATGGAAAGCAGCTCACACTCCTTTCACGAGAACAGTTCACGAAATTGTTCCCCTTCAATTCATTCTAGTAGTGAGAGTCTGAACAGGGGGTTCCGGATCTGCCTTACAACTAGCAACTAGAGTCTAGAGTTGTTGTAATAACCTGAAAGACGCAACCCTCTCAAAGCATTGTTGTTTAGAGGTAAAGGGAAGTTCAGGCCGAGACCTAAGAAGGTTTTCTTTTGTAGCGCCCCTTTTGCGATTGGGGGTTGTCCCAGCTTGTGCTCCTCTTGCAAGTGTCCGGGATTTCCAATCCTTTCCACCAGAACCTAGGAGCAAGGACGCTACTAGGAGCAAAGGGCATCGCTACTAGGAGCAAGGACGCTACTAGGAGGAAATGGCATCGCTACTAGGAGCAAGGACTCTACTAGGGACTCCTGGCCGTACTACTAGGAGCAAGGACGCTACAAGGAGCAAAGGGAATCGCTACTAGGAGCGTCGACGCTACTAGGGGCTTCTGGCCTTACTACTA